ATATCTTTCCCACATCAAGGGAAAGTAACCTATATTAATGACTTAGATTAATAATGATGCTGTACAGATACCTGTGCAGTGAAAGATGGTATAATTCTAGGTTTATACTCTAGGAAGCATGCCGGGGGGAGCTGGGAAATTGGCTGTTGTCTCCTGCCTATCTTTGAGTGGCTTAGGTAAAGCACTCAGGCAGCACAGTTGGGTTTGTGGCGCCATCATCTGATGTCATACTCGGTGATAACAGGGCTTGAAGAGGCTGGCTGTGTTCACCAACAAAGCCGTGTAAAATTGGCCAGCCCAGCTGGAGGGTTAAGGGGCACAGAGGTTCCAACAGCTCCCAGACTTCACCCCAGGGGTGACAATCTCTCACAGCGGTATGTGTTACTCAGCTTCCTGGGTTCATCAGTAATCTCTATGGAGTCCAGGGAGATCACTGATGAACCCAGGAAGCTGAGTAACACATACTGCCTCCCCAGATCAAAGCAGATTACCTATAAAATAAACAAAAATGCAAACTAAACCTAACATACTAGACAGATTAAATATGAATTAGCAATTTCTCATCCTGACTGTTGATACAAGCCATCCACCAAGTTTCCATATGCAGGCTAGAAATCCTTTTAGCCTGGGTCCAGTACTCCCCCAGTTCAGTCTTTGTTCCTCTGGTGTTTCCAGGAATTGTCACCTAAAAAAATAGTTCAGGTGTGGGAATTTCCCTCACGTCCTCTTCCGGGAAGACTGATGCAAAGAATTTATTTAGCTTCTCCGCAATGGCCTCATCTTCCTTGAGTGCTCCTTTACCACCTCAATCGTCCAGTGGCCCCACTCATTATTTGACAGTCTTCCTGCTTCTGATGTACTTTAAAAAAAATGATGTTATTTTTCATTTCATTTGCTAGCTGCTTTTCAGATCTTTTGAACTAGGTACGCCAAGATATCACCAAGCCTCATTCAAGAATTATAAGTCACTCCCCCCAAACCCATGAGGTTGGTAACAAATAAGTAGATTTAAAAATACATGAATGTGGGGTTTGTTTTCATTTGCCTTTTGTGTCCAAGTCGTAGGGATAAGCCACTTCGGATGTTCTAGCTTTTCTGCAACTTTCTTTAAACCATTTCTTTTTTTTTTTTTTTTTTGAGAAAACAGAAAGCTGAGATTCTGTGCAGTGTCTTGATTCCAGAAGTTGGGGCTTTAAGAAAAAAACAGGAAATTGTGCGAGACTCCCAGTAAAATCCCAGCAGTTGGCGCTGCTGGCTGTATCTCAAGTTGAGCACCCACAAATGAAGGAACTGAGGGTTGGTTAGTGGACATTTCTGCTCACACAGACCAGTGGCAGAGATGCTCTTTCCCTCTGCACTGGGATACAGAGCATCCTGTTGTAAGGAACAGGGTTACACCACAGCCAGCCAGACATATCAGTGACTGTCTTGCAGATTCACAGGTTCCTCAGGCACAGCTCAGAGAGTCTCCTCCTCTTGTTCAGGCATGAAACATGCACAAGCTGGGTAAGCAAGGCCATGCACATTCTTAATAGAAAGGGGCATGACTCAAGCCCAGCTCCAAATGCCTCTGTTGGACCGAAACAGCCCACCCCCATCCAGCAGCCCCCAAAATTGGTGATGATGGCAGTTTGGACGCAGGGTGTGAGGTCTATCTCCAGCACTAGATTTACTATCAGTGCTCATGGAATGGGTGGGGGTCAGGATCAGACTGAGGGGCAGGGCTCTGTTCAGCCAGGAAACACTCTCCAGATCCTTTGCTTTCTTAAAGCACGTCCTGATTCCCCTTCTTACTGCTGAGCTGCAGGAGGGGCTCAGAATTCCCTCGTCAAAGGGGGCTGTGCTAATGACAGGCCTCATCACCAAGGGGTGTTGGGACACGTTCAGGTTCTCCACCCAGTGCCCCAAATCTGAGAGCTGAAATCTCTCTAAGGCACTTAGCTATGACCTCAACTATTGTAGTGTCCAAGTGCCTCTCAATCTCTAACATATTTATCAGAACAACACCCCATGCAGGACGGCAGTGTTATTAACAGCACTGGGCAGTGTATCCCTATCTATAGATGATGAATCAAAAATCCTAGTTATTACTTTGAGGGTTGACAGGTTCTTGACCCAAGATCAGGCCCAATATTATTAAAATTATTAAATAGCTGGGGACTGTGACATGCACAGGTGCGACACTCGCATGACAGGAACTCTTTTATATTTACAAATAAATATTTATTAATACATTTGGCAAAGTCACACACACTGTAACTCAGTAAGTTGGACAGAGATAATACAGAAAGTACATCTGAACATCCATACTCACACCATCCCTTGCAGAACAACCTGAAATGTTAGCCATCAACTTCTGTTCCCTCCCAAGGGCTACATCGCTCTCTCCTACTGCCCTGGTATGCCACTTTTCTAATATGTTATTCTGACATTACCATGTCTAATATGTATTCAGTAGGGGTTTCTCCCCTCTTCCTTATTTGTATTTCCTCCCTTTACCAATGTTAAGGGGTCCTTCTTTTAAAGGTTAGTGTATTTATAATTTCACCCCATTATCATACATTTCATTTTGATGCCATGGCACTCGTCCAATTGGATGTTCCATCCCAAAACCTTGCAGAAGCTGGTGTTGGTTCATGTACTGATGTTGTCATGGACAAAATTCCCCCCTACACTCCACTTCCAGTTCCCCACAATTTATGAGTTACTGAAGTTTATATATGCCAAAGTTCGTAGGTCTCAAGCCTCATGCTAACTGCTGAAGGCAATATCTCACATGATACAAACCTGTAAATTCCTTGCATTACTGCTGATTATAATGAAGCAGAATATAATGCAAAGCAGTGAATATAATAGAGGTAAGCTGTCCCCCTGGGCTACAGCAAATCCCCAAACCAGAAGGCACGTATTATGATCACCTGGTCTGACCAATTCTAGAGACAAGCCAGAGACCTGCCCCACAACAGTCCTAAAGCAGAGCTGTTAGAACAAGATTTATCTCCTCCTGCCGTGATTTAACAATTTTCAGTGCTGGAGAATCTACCACGGCACTTGGTAAATTGTTGCAATTACACTCACTGTTAAAAAATTACACCTTAGTTCCAGTCTGAATGTGTCTAGCTTCAGCTTCCAGCCATTGGATCCTGTTATAACTTTTGCTGCTAGATTGAAGGGCCCGTTGTTAAACATGTGTTCCTCATGCAGGTACTTACAGACTGTGACCAAGTCACCCCTTCACCTTCTCTTCATTAAGGTTCTTGAGTGAGCTGTAGCTCACAAAAGCTTATGCTCAAATAAATTTGCTAGTCTCTAAGGTGCCACAAGTCCTCCTTTTCTTTTTCTCTTTAAGGCAGCTTTTCTAATCCTTTAATCATTCTTGTGGTTCACTCCAATTTATCAACATACTTCTTCAACTGTAGACAGCAGAAGTAGATGAGGGGGAGGGATAGCTCAGTGGTTTGAGCATTGGCTGCTAAACCCAGGGTTGTGAGTTCAATCCTTGAGGGGGCCATTTTGGGATCTGGGGCAAAAATTGAGGATTGGTCCTGCTTTGAGCAGGGGGTTGGACTAGATGACCTCCTGAGTTCCCGTCCAACCCTGATATTCTATGATTCTATGACACAGGATCCCAGCAGTGCAAAATAAGGAATAACCTCTCTACTCCTACTCAAGATTCCCCTGGTTGTACATCCTGGATTGCACTAGTTTTTTTAGATGAAACATCGCACTGGGAGCTCATATTCAACTGATTATGACCCCCAAATCTTTTTCAGAGTCACTGCTTCCCAGGATTGGGTCCCCCATCCAGTAAGGATGGCCTGCATCCCTTGTTCCTAGATGTAAACATTTACAATGAGCCGTATTAAAACACATGTTGCTGTGACACACAGGGACAAAGTGAGTTTCCCAAGGTCACAGAAGAATTCCTTGAGTGAGCTTGGACTGAAGACAGTTCTTCTGAATCCCAGGCTAGGCTTTTAACCACTGAACCATCCTTCCTCTCTGGGACTGGTGGCTGGGGAGAGAGCAGCTGGCAGCTCAACATGCTGAGATTACCATAAACTCAGAGAATTAAACTTCTGTGACATCACCAAACAGGAACCCCAAAACAATTCCTTTTCCAGACAATAACACTGAGTCATGCTTTTCTGCTGACCTCTATCGAGGGACAAATCCATCAGCCGGGGCACAGAGTGGGGTTACAGTGGACAAGCAACTCCACATGAGCTCCCAGTGTGATGCAAAATGAGCTATTTTGACCCTTAGGGATATAGGCCTGCAAGGGACCTCCTGGCATTTGGTCCAGTGCATAAACCTGTCAAACTCCTTTTCAAACCAGCTAGATTGTTTGCCCCCCACTGTTCCTCTTGGGCAGCTGTTCCAGAGCCTCCCTCCTCTGATGGTCAGAAACCTCCTTCTCCTTCCAAGCCTCCGTTTGCTCCTGGTCAGTTTGTCCCCATTTGTTCTTGTGCAAGCACTATCCTCTAGCTTCAGGAGCTCATCTCCCTCCCCGGTGTTTACCACCACTCTGATCCCCACTCAGCCTGCATTGTGGTAGGCTAAACCAGCCAAGTTGTTCAAGTCTTCTTGTAAGACAGGATCTCCACTGTGCTGACCATCCTAGGAGCCCTTCTCTGAACTTCTGAATTCTTCTTTCTGGAATATGACTTACCAGAATTTTACACAGTGTGCCAGAGGAGGTGTGACGTTATTGACACAAACTTTTGACTGTATAGATCATTGTTGCAACCAAGGTCCTATAGTGGCACCAAAACTTGGACAAAGGAGGTCAAATAAGGTGTATATAAAAAGGTTGTAATTTGCTGGTTATGATTATGCTGTCTGTATGTGTGTATCATTTTGTATTTGAAGTTATGAATATTAGCTAGGTACTTGTATCTCAATATGTTTGATTCTAAAAAGCATCAGTGAAGCATTTGGTTAGCTTCTTGATTTTGTCTCCCTTTACCAGTGCTGGAGCTGGGTGATGAAGTGACCCTTCACTTGATGAACACCCTGATTATCTTTGCACAAAGGTGTTTGCTTTTCAAGCTGTACACAATTGGATTAATCAGGGGTGGGACTAGCAAGGAAAAGTATCCCAGGAAAACCTGAAGTAAGGGAGAAGAGCCCTTCCCGAATCTGTGTATCACAGACAGGCCAATCTCTGGTATGTAGAAGAGCAGGACGGCACAGAGGTGGGAGATACAGGTGTTCAAGGCCCTGAGGCACTCTTTGGAGGACGCGACACTCAGCACTGTTTTGAGGATCATTATGTAAGAGAGCAAGATGAGCAGCGAGTCCAACCCCATTATTAGGAGTTTAGCTAACAAGCCATAGATGCTGTTGATACTGATATCCGAACAAGCCATCTTCATGACGTCCTGGAACAGGCAGTAGGAATGGGAGAGGACATTGGTGCGACAGTATCGGAACCGTTTCAGGAACAAGGGGAGTGGGAATACTATGACCATCCCTCTTAGCACAAACACCAGTCCCATCTTGGGTATTCTTGGCAGGGTTATGATGGAGGCATATCTCAGTGGATTACAAATAGCAATGAAGCGGTCAAAGGCCATCAACAAGAGCACGGCGGACTCAAAGCATTGAAGCGAGTGGATGAAGAACAGCTGGGCAAAACAGGCATTGAGGCTGATCTCCCTAGAGTTAAACAGGTATATGCCCAGTATCGTTGGTATGGTGGCTATGGATATGCCAAGCTCTGTGACGGCCAACATGGAAAGGAAAATGTACATGGGCTCATGGAGGCTTGGTTCAGTTTTTATAGTGAACAGAATGACTAAATTTTCTACTATTGAAATAACATACATGAAGCAGAAGGGGATAGAGATCCAGAGATGCATGTCTTCCTGCTCAGGTAGCCCAGTCAGAAGGAACACTGCAAATTGAAATTTGGTGTCATTGACAGCTGACATAATGTACTGTGAAGGTCCGGAGAGTTTTCAGCTTTCCTTCCTAAAAGAAAAAAGAACAGGAGACTAGATGATATTTAATGATAAATCTTTCTGGTCTCAATGCAAGTCTATAGGTGCCCAGTAGCTCAAGGTAGATCAGCAAAAATATACTCTTGGATTTACACCAATGATAGGAAGATAGATATTGCCAGATTGGATCAGATCAAGCCCTGCAATGGGCAGCTATGAGATAACCTACTTCAAGGGAAAGTTTCCTGGAGACACAGAGTAGTTAGACATATTCTGTGGTGTAAATCAGGAAGGTGTATAGCCCTACTAAGACTTCTTTTAAAAAATCCTTCCTATTGTAATTGAATTTTTTGTTTACCCATAGAAACATTCAATCCCTCTTTGAATCAGGCTAAGATCTTGGCCCCATCAATATCTTGTAGCTGTTAAGTTCCACAGCCTTTTTGAAAACTGTAATTTTAAAGTGATGACCTTCACAGACACACCCTGTCTGGCCCTCCACTTCTGAGTGTGGCCCATTGTAGCTTGACATGTGGTAAACACACGGCAAACGCATGCTGAAAGTGATCAGACCCTGCACTGAAGCTGTTTCATTGCACCAGTAATAATAGTATTTATTTTCCCCACTCCTGAGAGTCCAAATTATACCACTGCCTCTTTCCAGAACATGGCATTAATATTTAGGGCCAGAATCTTAATTCAGTAATATTGACTCCAGATTCAAGTGTGTCTCTCCAGATTTACATATGTGAATTCAATCCAAACCAGGCTGTGTTAACTTTCCCTTACCAAATCCTCCCGGAGATACACTCTGACCCCCAAGAATCCCTCCAAGAGAAGCTGAAGTTCTTTGCCTCTCCGTTCTTGACTCAATCCAGAGAGGTCGATCATCCTACGGACTTCTCTTCATCCTCACATGAACCTCATCCTCTCCCCATGCAACAGTCTGTAGATATTTGGTAAGTTACAAGCCAACACAGACAGTTACTTCAGCTGGGTGAGAGAGGGGTTGGTGTCACAAATGGGTGAAGAGTACAAACACTGGTGTTGCACTAATGTGCCGTTGAGTGTACAAATTCCTTCAGCAGTGCTCCTGTAACAGGTGATTAGTGTGAATTACTTATGACCACTATTACACTCCCCTTTCCCGCACCTCAATTCTACTCTTTTCTGAATCACTGACCGGTGGTTCTTTTCTCTAGTAACTTTTAGGAAAGACTTGTACAGGTATTGCAGAGGGATTGTGTTCATGACCCTGAATGTAAGAGTTAGAAACAACTTCTGGTCAGTTACCAGGAGACAGTATCATACAACTGTTCACTGAACAAAGAGTTAACAGCACAAACCCATTGCACACAGTATGTGGAGTACTTTTGACATACTTATCATAGAATCATAGAATCATAGAATATAAGGGTTGGAAGGGACCCCAGAAGGTCATCTAGTCCAACCCCCTGCTCGAAGCAGGACCAATTCCCAGTTAAATCATCCCAGCCAGGGCTTTGTCAAGCCTGACCTTAAAAACCTCTAAGGAAGGAGATTCTACTTTCTAAAGCCCAAACTGTTAAGCAGTAAAGTTACCTCTGCTCCCTCCTGCAAAGATTCCAGTGACGCTGCTGCTGGCTTTCGACATACATTCATGTCATGAAAGTTTTCTTTGTAATAATGTATTACAATGAAAAGTTTTGGCATAATATTCATACATCTGTACTTTAGTACGCACATGTGAACCACAGGCGCTGAACCCACCAGGACCTGCTTAGCAAGCACAGTCAACCCGCAGTGTGTTGTAGCCCAGGACCCAGTCTGAGGGTGGGAGAATCATGGGATTCCACCCTATGGGAGGGAAGACTATGAGGCCTGACATCTGGCAGAGATGCAGGTAGCCCTGTAATCCTGAGCAGTGTCTATAGGGCAGAAGTGCTGGAGACCTCAGCCAGTCAGGAAATACAAATATTCCCTACCGGACTACTTACCACAAAGCAACGCAGCTCGGAATTCCTACGTTTCCAATCAAGCGAGAGAATAAACCCTTTGAAAATGCATTTGCTGATTAAATTTCCAGGAGAAAATAAACTGGAGACAATTTGGGAACTAGTCATTGATATTCTGTGGGGTTTCTTCTTGCTCAGCCCATGGCAATGTCAGGTCCAGAGCTCATAGCACCTCTAGAAATGAATCACCCCGGCAGCTCAGCTGAGTCCTCTGCCACAGCACAGAACATCTGCAAATGGAAACAGCTTCCAGCTTTTTTCCCTTCATATCACATTTTAAAGATAGTGAAACCAGCCAACGTACCCAATTCCTGCTCAACATGGAGTGGCTGACATCAGAAGTCTTCACCCTTAAGGACAAGGAGTCATTGGATAGGTTACACAGGCAGCAGCTAGTAACTGTTCAGATAGGGAGGCAAGTGTCTTTATGAAGCGTGCTGGCACATTTCCTTGGGGGCCACTTGGCCATCAGGGAACTTCAGCTGCTTGGCTTCGTGTGCACCAGGTTTAGCCCCGTCACAGCCAATGGCAAACTGCTGGAGGCCAAATCACAGGGGATGCGTAATCATGCTACCGAAGAGGACTTGGCTTGTCATCACTCTTTGTATAATTCCAGTTAGTCACAGGGCTACTTTGAAGGCGTTCAAGTGGTAACAATGACGCTGTCACAGCTGTGATTTTGCTGCAATAAAATAAAATATAAAAATAATAATAATTAATAATATAGGACCATATTTCTCCTTGGCAGCCCCCTGTCTTGCATTACAAACCCAGGGTGCAGGCCAGGGAAGGGAAATTCCACAAGTCTCTGTAATGATGCTCCCTTTGGTGGGACACTACTGGGAGTATCAATTCAGGATAAATTGCTTAGAGCAGGGCAGTTACAGCCCAAAACTGGAGTCCCTTTCCTAAATAAGGCACACCAAACCAGCCAAAGAGAGAGGACTTTAGTTTTACCCCACTGGGTAACGAGAAGTTATACAAGCAATTCCCTTAGACACTCCTGTTCCCTTGTATCACCACCAGCACCACTCCTTTTGGGGATGAATGGTTATGAAAACCAATACCCCAGTAAAAGAAAAAAGGTTCCTCCGATCCCAAAGAACCAAGCCCCAGACGCAGGTCAATATACAAGTCAGATCTTACCCACAAATCACACTGTTGCCAATTCTTTAGAATCTAAAATCTAAAGGTTTACGCATAAAAAGAAAGGAATATAGATTAGAGCAAAAACTGGTGAAAGGAATCAACGCCATACAGTAATGGCAAAGTTCTTGGTTCAGGTTTGTAGCAGTGGTGGAATAAACTGCAGGTTCAAATCAAGTCTCTGGAGTACATCCACAGCTGGGATGGGTCATTCAGTGCTTTGTTTAGAGCTTCAGTTTGTAGCAAAGTTCCTCCAGAGGTAAGAAGCAGGACTGAAGTCAAAATGGAGATGATTCAGCTGCCTTTTATAGTCCTTTGACATGTGGCCTGTGCTTCCTTTGTTTCAAACACAAGCTACCCATCACATGGCACAGAAAAATCTTAAGAGTTCTGTCAATAGGCATGTCCCTGCATGTCTTACTGAGTTACAAGATGTATCTGCCTTCTCTCAATGGGTCAATTGTACAGCCGATGGTCCTTAATGGGCCATCAAGCAGGCTATGCAGAGCTGACACCAATTTCTCTGGGGTGTCACACAGAAGCATTTTCATTTGGGTCAAACATTTTCGGTAGGTGTAAAAATCTCTCTGTTTTCCAGCCCAGCTGTATCTCAAATTATGAGCCTCTGTCACTCATGCTACACATCCACATCCCTAGGTGGCAGCACTAACCCCAATCTGCCTCCCACACAGAGCAGCCCCTGGATGTCTGCTATGGTATCTATGCTAGCTCTGTAACAGAGGGATCCCCTGGAAAAGGCTTGTCTGCAGCACCCCACCCATCAGTGGAAAAATGTAAGAACATAAGTCCATATTGGGTCTCAACAATGCTCCATCTAGCCCAGTGTCCTGTCTTCAAACAGGGGACAGTGCAGATGCTTCAGAAGGAAAAAAAACAAAATGGGGCAATTATTGAGTCATTCATCACCTTTCCTCTGCTCCCACCTTCTGGCAGCCAGAGGTTTAGAGACACCCAAAGCATGGGGTGTGTCCCTGAGCATCTTGTCTAATAGATATTGATGGTCCTATCCTCCATGAACTTATCTACTTCTTTTTTTTTGGATAGTTATACTTTTGGCCTTCACAACATCTTCTGGCAAACAGTTCCAAAGGGTGACTGTGCATTCTGAGAAAAAGTACTTTCTTTTGTTTGTTTTAAACCTGCTGCCTAGTAACATCATTGGTTGACACTTAGTTCGTGTGAAGGGGTAAACAACACTCCCTTATTCACTATCTCCACACCACTCATGATTCTATGGACTTCTGCCATACCCCCCTGTAGCCATTTCTTTTCCAAGATCAACAGCCCCAGTCTTTTTAATCTCTCTTCATATGAAAGCTCTTCCATACCCCTAAACATTTTTGTTGCCATTCTCTGTACTTTTTCCAATTCATAGAATCATAGAAGATTAGGGGTAGAAGAGACCTCTAGAGACCTCAGGAGGTCATCTAGACCAACCTCATGCTCAAAGCAGGACCAACACCAATTAAATCATCCCAGCCAAGGCTTTGTCAAGCTGAGTCTTAAAAACCTCTAGGATGGAGATTCCACCACCTCCCTAGGTAACCCATTCCAGTGCTTCACCATGCTCCTCATGAAATAGTGTTTCCTAATATCCAACCTAGACCTCCCGCACTGTAACTTGAGACCATTGCTCCTTGTTCTGTCATCTGCCACCACTGAGAACAGCCGAGCTCCTTCCTCTTTGGAACCCCCCCTTCAGGTAGTTGAAGGCTGCTATCAAATCCCCCCTCACTCTTCTCTTCTGCAGACTAAATGAGCCCATTTCCCTCAGCCTCTCCTCGTAAGTCATGTGCCCCAGCCCCCCTAACTAATTTTGTTGCCCTCCGTTGGACTTTCTACAATATATATTTTTGAGATGGT